GGTCGCAGTCTTTACCACGGCACCATCTCCTCGCTGGTGCCCTACCTCCGCCAGTTCGGCCTTCATTGCCCTCCGTATCACAACCCAGCCGACTACGGTAAGTAGCTTCTCGGAACCTTGAGGAGGGTGGGCTTACTCGAATCATGATTTGATGTGAATCCTATTTAAATAATAATACAACTAGAGCAGGGGGGTGCTCAAATCTCTTCCGCATGCAGGTCACAAAGTGCCGCGGTGAAAATTCACTTTTGGCGCTCCTGATCCAGAGATTTTATTTCGACAATGTCTCTGGGATTGGAAGCAATTCATATTCGAAGAAACTAGATTATTTAATGGACAAGCAAGAAGGGAGGCAATGCTGACTTCAGGGACTAGGCAATGAGCACAAGGATATGCTTTTTTAAAAATCTCAAGAAATGCAAAAATATTTAACTTCAAGAAGAGTAGGAATACCCTAAACTTAAGGAACGCTCGACCTCGACGCGGGGTATTCAAATGGACGTTATCGCCTTTTGATACCACTCTACCACCTAGAACCTTGAATCTTGATCCATGTAGTTGTAAACTCATATGGGAAAACGTCACTCAAGGAATGTAGCAAATTTGAATACTATATGCTGGGAAATTGAAGCCTCTAAATCTTGATTTTAAGTGAGCCCAATTGGTTAACCCGGGTCAAAATATTTATGAATGAATTAGATTTTTATTTTTTTTTATATACGAATTTTACACGAATCTATTGGTTTATTTAAAAAAATTAACGGTGGGGGACAGTGGTTTATTCACTTTTCATCTGTCTTTTTCTACCAGTTCCTGCATCCTTCAAGCAAAAATGAATGGGTTATATGAATTCAAAATTAATTGGACAGCCTTGAAATGAGTCCATGGCTTTACATTCTAGCCTCACAAATGCAAGCAAATCCGTCGGGTCGAAGATCTTAAGAAATAAGGGAAATCCGCATTGGCAGCTCGTCTGCATTGTGAGGTCCAGTGACATGCAGCATGTGCATTGGTACATGCTACCATGTCATGGCAAATCCAACGACCCAATTACTTTTTAGCAAGAAAAGTTGTCATCTAGCTGAGCGTGAGGTCTTTTCATTCAGTTGACCAATGATCGTTGCTTAGTTTTATCAGAATATGCAGCGGATGACGCAGCAAATTCAGAGAAATGCAGCGTTTCTGCCTTTTACATATGACGTGACCACTTGGAGATAATTACATTGCCATCCTTTGACCGTCGCAATCATCGCTTCATCGAGATGCCTGTAATGGGGAACCCTAATGGGGAATTCCGACAATTTTTCTGCCTCGTAGGATGTCTCAGCATCACGGCCTAGCAGAAAGTCGTCGCGGTCATCTGAAGGTTCATGCGATAACAGATCGGCCTCCATGAGTCACAGGAAAACGGCCGGAGCATCGAACGCCGACTAAATGCAATGTGAAGGTACTCACGAAGGTACTCACGAATAAAGTCGTCGCGGTCATCTGAAGGTTCATGCGATAACAGATCGGCCTCCATGAGTCACAGGAAAACGGCCGGAGCATCGAACGCCGACTAAATGCAATGTGAAGGTACTCACGAAGGTACTCACGAAGGTACTCACGAATGTACTCACGATGATACTCATGAAAATCTCACGAGTCATCAAAACGCTTGCATGTGGAAGAGGAGTCAAATGGCCTCCCTCCCATTATGATAGAGAGGTTAATGAGGGAAGCAATGCAGAAAGGCAAGTTTCCTACCTTTTTTTGAAGGCCAAAGAAGCAGAGAGAGTGTGCAATAGTGCTAGCAAGAACTGAACTCCATATTCTGCAAGGTACAGGGCGACCCATAAAAACCATTCCAAACTTTGACAACGACCTCATCCCAGCTCTCTCCCAAAAAAGCCCAGTATGATTTTTTGGGTTACCCTGTATATTGTGGTTCACATTAGTTCCAAAAAGTATGAAGGGGTCTATATGAACAATCAATAGGGAAGACGGTCTTTTGGCAGTCAGATAATATTATTGCTGCTTAATTCGGAAGAAAATGTTACTTTTAAGGAAAATGAGTTACGAAAACCTCACAACCCTTCTAGCATGACAAGCAATCGGAATTGAATATATACAATTTACAAATATGGGCAATCAAACCACGGACCGAATGATTCGCGTCTATCGTCCTATGGGAACCTCACCCCATGCATCCGAGACGAGAAAGGACAAAAGCATTCCAGCAAGATTCGAAACACGCGATGAAGTCAAGTGGCGCGGAGCAATGATGGAGAAGGATCAAGGAAAATGAGAACACACCGTTCAAAGTTCGTGTAGGACATCAAGAGGACGTCAAGGGGATGTCAAGTGGACGTCAAGAGGCTTGAAATGACGTGGAACGCTCATATAAAGTTGGATGGGTCAACCCCTTCTAGAGATAGAGATTTATATAAGAACAATACGGTCTCAATCCTTTTCACGATATACAGGGTGTCCCATAAGTCCCTTTGCACTCAGGTTTTTCTCAGGTTAATTGCAGTAAGGATTTGTGAAGATGGCAGAAAATATGAGTGAGCAAAAAAACCTTTTAAATTGTCGAACGAATGTTGTTAAATGCCAATGAATGTAAAAATACATGAATAACTTATTGCATAATTTTAATTTTACTACACTAATCTACAAGGAAACGGTTCGGGTGTAAAGGGGACTCATAGGACACCTTGTACATTGTCCTTTAATTCCCTTCAAGAGAGTCACGGTTAAGGAAGCGAATGGCAGAAGGGATAGTGAAGTTCCCAAGTAGCATTCAGTGACAGTCGACCAATTTCAGAGAGTTCCTCAGATATTCCCTCCCAAGGAAAACCGGAGACTTCGAAGGATCACCGTCTTCTCCCATTCTCAGAAATTCCACACCTATCGGCTGCCCTTGCACCGTTTGCAGACGATGAATGGAGTTACCTTAAGGTTACGATACTTCCACGATTGCCTCATGACGTTCCTCTTCCTTCCTGGTTGCAGCGATGGAAGTAGCGGTTGGATTCCACGGTAGAGAAGCGATCAACGTGTTATTCGATGCAGCCAATGTGGAAACCGCGACTCCTCGCAAGCAGGAGGAACCCGATCAAGCATTCTTGAGTCCCAACAGCAAGTCTTCGCTTTCTACTGCCTCGTCTGGTATGCATTAAAATAATTGTATAATTAATAATTTAAATATATTTTTATACACTGGGTAATGGCAATTTTAATTAAAATATTTTCATGACTTGTTCTCAGTAGAAAAATACGCCAAGGTCATTCAATTAAAATTTAGACAACTTCGACCAAATGTCATTGTTCATCGCGTCAAATGCTTTTTAATGCGAGGCAGACCCCACCATAAGGAATCCAACCCATTCAGAGTTCATACAGGCTCGGGCATCAACTTTCGATGAAACATTGCGTTGGGTCCGACCAAGGGCGTTATGTGATATATCCGTAGGTGTATGGAGAAAAATCAAGGTTATGTTGGACACAAGGCCGAAGGCGACCGAGGACGCAGTGGCGGAGTACGCCGTGTCATTCGCGAGCCAGGTGGAGTGCCTGTTCCTGCGATGTCTCAAGACGACGACCAGGGACTTGGTGCGTGTTTCCATGGGCCTCTTGGGGGAAGCTGTTGTTTAGAGGTGCCGGCGTCCATTTTGATGCATTTCGGTCATTGCATTTTGATGCATTTGAGGTCGATAATTTCCAGGCCGATGTCTTTCTCGTTTCTTGAAGGGCTGCTTTGTCCAAAGGAACATGTAGCGTTGCCGATAATTACGTTACTATCGAATCTCTTTCATATACGAATGGAATAGGGCATTCATATGTCATATACCGTTACTCATTCACACTACGGACGACTCATCGCAGTGCGGCTGCGTAATGGCCAATGCATGTCTCATTAGACGTTGAGATTCCCCGCTAGGCAGTAGAGCCCCTATGTGCCGGTCACTCATGCATCATTTTGTCAAATGAGGATGTTTCTTTTTCTCAAGTCATTTTCCTTGTATCTAGTAAGACACAGTGTACTAATTGCCTGAAACAAAGACAATTACTGGACTTTGCAGGGTAATTATTAACAATTATGGTGGGGTTCCATCGCGGGGAATTGGGATCCGTGCGAAATACATATACTAAATACATTGCGATCTTAAATTGCGACACGATGGTGCATGATTGGCGCAGAATCGGGAGAAGATAGATACAAAATCGATCAGTCTTCCACAATCCGTAATGGACTTCCATGAAAGACTTCTAAAATAGATGTCCGTAATGTTTTTTACTATCTAATTACTATTGTCGTGTGGGGGGCCTATTTACGATTACTTTTGAATCCAAAGAGTTGGGAAAAGGGATAATTTAGCACGAGCAAAGGAAATGGGTCCAGCCTCACTCCATTGACAGGACAAGCCTTCCATATGACGACTGAGGACGATTGAAAAATGCGGAGTTCAACAAACAACAGCATCATATAAGACAAAATGAGAGACGTAAAATATGGGAGGCTGAGGATCGCAGAATACTTCGAAGGGAGCGGATGGAATCCCGAGCAGAGTCTGAATGGAAAGCTCGGTCGAGAACGACCTTGAAGATCAGGGCAAAAGGGATGACTGGAGGGACCGAGCAACTCAAGACGCACTTGGAAGCGGAGCACGTAGGATGGGAGGAGGATGGGCCGACACGTCCGGAAGAATCTTGCGTCACGCACAGACGATACACGCACAGCTGCAGGGATGCATCCCTGTCGTAGCCCACGCAGGGATGTACCCGCAGGACTTCGGGGCACGAAAGACCTTCGCGTGAGCTCTACGGCCCTGCACTTGAACACTGAACTGATTATATTCGATTACGCATATTTGAATACGACATTATCGCTTAAAGAAGTTCTTATTATTAACCATATTATAGCCTTTTTCCCGCCGATTTAGGGGGGAATTGAAAACAGTCCATCTCTCCTGCCCCAAGGACTAAGTCGCTGGTCGTGGTTCAGCAACCTATCGACCCTTGTTCAGTCGAACAGGGGTCCAAATCTGCGAACTTGTTACTGACTGACCTGTTTCTTGAAAAAAAGTAATCTAACCGGATCAACCACGTTTTCAGTTAAGTCGTGATGCTTCCGACGATAATATTTGAATTACTCCCGTTAGAGAAGTGCATCCACAATTCTAGTTACAGTTTCTTCATTTTTTTATAACTTTTTTCGCGCACATACATTTCCTTTCGTATAGTATAATCCATGAAAATTTCGCAAAAATGTCCTATCCATATTCAAATTTGGTGATTAAGTGGTCGGGTTTGAGAGAGTAAAAAAAACCGTGAGTAAACCTCTCCTCTTCAGTGTTCTCATTGCAATGATACATCCATGTATCATTGTTCTTCATCCGCGCCTCATTGTTTTTTTTCTGGGAATCACAACCCTTGCGGAAAAATCCTACTGGATCTTATAGAATCCTATCAGATTTTTTAATCCTAAAAATATATAGAATTCCCATAAGAATCCTATAAAATTTTTTGTTTCGAAAATCCCATAGGATCCTATAGAATATTTTCGTAAGAGAAGAACCCGCTTCCCTGCTTCCGCAGTGGCTCCTGTACTTCCGGGGCGGAGCACACATCTTCGTCGGTCTCTTCATGGGGGTCTTCTTCTTCGACATGGGCGAGGACGCCACGCGGGTGTTCCACAACGTCGGCTCCGTCTTCTTCACCATCCTCTTCCTCATCTTCGCCTCCATGCTCCCCACCACCGTGACGTGTGAGTTTTTTTTAAGGCTTTAAAATTCGCCAAATTTCTTATTTAATTATGAATAATATTTTTGTTGGGTGTGACTGTGTCTGAGGAGCTGCAACTTTTGGCCACACATCTGTTTTCATTCTTGGCATGCGGATGACATGAATCTATTCCCATGTCACCCACAGGCACACAAAAGTAGCAATATTTTCAGGTGAAGTTGCGATGCGTCAGTGAACAGTGAATGGAGATTCACTGTTCACTGACGCATCGCAAGCCTTCCATAGGATTTTGATGTGCGAATTTCCCACCAGAGAGTATATTCTTACATCCATATTGCGATTTCAGATCCATTGGAAATCCATGTGCTGCTGAAAGAGATTCTCAATAAGTGGTACTCCCTCAAGGCATACTACTTGGCCAAGACCCTGTCGGATATCCCTTTCTCCGTGAGAGAATTGCGTTCTCCTTCCCCTCTGATATTCCATATTATTTAAACATAAATATCGGGCTTTCTTTCCAGCTTATTTATAGCTTGATATACCTGGCGTTGTGGTACTTCATGAGTTCGCAGCCGATGGACGCCCATAGATTCCTCCGGTTTCTTGCCCTGAGCGCATTCGTTTCCATTATTTGCCAGTCTCTGGGGCTCATGATCGGCACTGTCTTCCCCATCCAGGTCAGCTCCAACAAGTATTTCACTTTCTTCGGTCTTTCAACATTGAGAAACATTACGTATTTGAATCATATATCGAATCTGGCAATTTTATATCCTTTATATTTTATTACTGTAAAGTGTCGTTGGAAATATTCACTCACTATTCTTTTAAACTTTCAGCCCTGAGTTTTTTTTAAGGCGATGCCCATACACGTTCCACTCGGCAGTGAAGGTGGATGAATCGATGTCAGATGAACGCCTAATTGACTAGATTTAATAACACTGCACTATGAACTAATAATGATACACACTTGAAGTGGCGGACGTATATATACGGCAACAGCATCGAAAGGATTAAGTCATACATGAACTCCATGCTTCCATCATGTGAAAGTTCATTCCAATTAGTCTTTCTTGCCTGTGGTATCATTAACCGTGGAGGAATGCTGCTCTTTGCCATGATGTTCTACTATGAGACTAGGCAATATCCGGTTGACATTAGGATCCCATTATCTATTGCATTCGAAAATTAATGATAAAGCATTGTCTTCATGTATTAGTATATTTTGTACTCCAAATGTATTGGAGCGATATTGAGCGGTTGCAGCTGGTCAAGTGCACTTTCAATGCTTCGTCAACTTTCCTCATTGTATTTTGTCGTCAATTATTGTCCATTAGTGCATCTTTATATTTGTACATAACTGACTTAGTTTCTTATGACATTACTTGTGTCCCTTTCTTGACATTTCTACTGGGTTTTTTCGAACGCAGACTGCCGTGTTCGTGGGTCCCGTGGTCGCAGCGCCCTTCCTCATATTCTCGGGGTTCTTCCTGAGCGTGAAGGCCATCCCTCAGTACATGCGCTGGGTCTCCCACATTTCCTTCCTAAAGTATTACTTCGAGGGAACGATGTTCTGCATCTACGGCTACAACCGATCTGACCTCCTGTGCAATCAGCCCTTCTGTCAGTTCAAGAATCCCGACATGTTCTTGAGGGAGTTGGACCTGGAGGAGAACGTGTACTGGCTCGACTTCTGGGTTCTCGTTCTTTACAACGTCGTCTTGAGAGTTGTGGCGTACTATGTGATTCGGTGGAAGCTTCATCACTCTCAGTGATGCCGGGTATCCCCATCGAAAGTCTTTCATGTTTATATTGTCAAGTTTTCCAACTGTTGGTGTAAGGAGTTTGAGGACCAGGGAAGATCTCTGGAGACAGAACGGGCATGTATGTACCTGGCTTCAATTTATGGGATCCAAAGGATCACCATTCCGAATTTTTATTCATGGAATGGAGGTTGAGTAAAGTTTTTAGAAGACAAATTTGAAGCATTTGATATATGCACTGGGACTCGGACACACAAATATTCTTCTAGGATCTCCCATAGCTCTCACGCATTTCACAAGTACTGACCGATCAGGAAAATGATTGCGGATGGATTTCTTCCCCGCGTCTCTTCGCACGGAGTCTATGAAGAAACTATAGATTGCTTCAATGGAGTTGAAGCAGACCCAGACACTTCTGAACTCCAATTTATTTTCTACGAAAAGACGAAGGATTCTCCATACCCAAGACGTTGCTCAGCCAGATGAGCGACGGAAGCATTCGAAGGCCATCTCGGCCCCGGCAATAAGTTCCAGTCTGAAAAATTACTGGTTTTACTCGGTTTATGATGGATTTTCCGGCAGTTGGATTGCCGTGCAGGAAACATCATTGGATCCAATTGTGATTTAGAATATAGGATTTTACCGCGTGCAAAAGTAGAGATCCGGCGGAATACAGCATGAAATTCCAGCTGGGAATATCATACTAATTTACAAATATTCTGGTTGTAAATGATGCGATTCCGGCTGGAAGTGGCTAAAATTTGAAGAGCTTGCTCTTTCCAGCTGGATCTTCTAGCTGGACCGTATAATAAAGAAGGGTTGCTTCCAAAGCCGGTGGTAATATATTTGGGAAATTCATAAAAAAAAAAGCTCTTATGCTATCCAGACGTATGCGAAAGGAATATAACAATGAATGAGAAAGTGAGCGTCAGGACCGTGACCGAAGTCGCTTTGTCGCATGTCGAAACCTAAATAATGACAATTAAATCATGTCATTCTCATTATTTACAGTAATTGTTATCATTATGATGAACATTATACTAAATGGCATTGCCCTGTGGACCGTACCTAAAAATCACGATTTGAGTATGGGAACAGTTACGTGTTACGTAGAGATTTACTCAGAAGATAAATTAGGAAATATTTACAATTATTGCAGGCAATTATTAAAGCACAGATGTGGGAGCGTGAAGAAAAGTGGTTCTCGGAAAAATATTTTATTTTCGAAGGGAGCTGCATATTCTTAACTTGAAGAAATATAGGATTTAATAAAACGCCCTCATGTTTATCATTGGGTCTATCAATACCCAATACGAGTACCCAATATGACGTTGTACCGGGACCATCACAAAATAAATAATTTAATGCTCGTTCTCACTCGTCTTCTAGACTAGTCAGCTTTCAGCACGAACATGAAGAATGCCACTCATGTACAGAAGTTAAAAGGATGCCCAATAAAAACAAAAGCCTAAAAATGAAAAAAAACTAAAATACAAATTTCAACTGGGCCCACGGACCGCACGAGCCCGATCTGCACCAATCCTAACAGAAGTTGATTTTCGGAGGAAATCCTTAAATACGAGTCTCCTCGATTGACTGATAAAACCGCACTGGCCCACAGGGAATACGGTATTACAAAAAAGGCCAAGGAACTTCCATGGTCTATCACGATGGAAAAGGTAACAATAGAAAGTTGTTGCGCGTGGATGACGGTTGGACAGACGGTCACCCCGCTGCAAACGGCCATCATCTGAGTCACCAGCAATGACAATAGATCAGTTGGAATTGCTGGGTTTTGCTGTGGGGGCAAAGTTTTCTCTACTTGTACCATGTATACAATGATATTAATATTCAATAGCTCGTAATATTACTTAATAATAATTATATCATTAGTATAATTTTTCCATAGGGAAAATAAATTAAGCTTCATGCCTTTCCATCAGGGGTGGACAAAATACGGCCTGCCTAATGATTCCATCCGGCCCCCATCTCCGTCTAGCTAAGGAAATAATTATACTTTGTTCAGTCATAGGAATGATAAATTTTAATCACTGAAGGAGCTGAGCTTCCTCATTTCGTTTGTCTTAATTAGGCCCTCTTCCCCTTCCTTTCCTCTTCTCAACTCCCCTCAAAAAGCTATGTTTCGACTGGAGCCTTTTCTAGAATGACACTTGGAATTCAGGTTATTAATTATTAATATTTAATAATATGAATCATTTTAAAAGTACAATAGCGAAAGATCTCACAAATGCAAAATACGATTTTATTCCTATATTGCCTTAATGAAAGGGTTAACACGATTANTTTTAAAAGTACAATAGCGAAAGATCTCACAAATGCAAAATACGATTTTATTCCTATATTGCCTTAATGAAAGGGTTAACACGATTAAAGATGAATGACCTGAAATGTGTTTGAGAGCGATATACAAGTCTTCTTTGTGAGAATCTGGATGGTCGAAAGACGTGATGCAGTAGAAGAAGCAGTTGTCCAGTTTATACTGCGTAGGGGGGAATAGGACTGACAAGCAATGATTGTGCTATTGAAGTATTCGCCCATATGTTGGAGTGCAGCCCGTGAAGCTCACCAAAACTCGCGAAGCCAAAGTAATTGCTCATCCATGCTTTGCATGAAGATGGAAGCATGATCAATAATTAAAATTTTAAATAATTTTTTGCGAAATTCTTCAGGTTTTTTTTTAATATCTTATTCCAAAAATTAGAATGAATTTATGGGTGAGGGTATACGTACCGTTTCATGCATGGCTGATCCCCACAGGAGCTGAAAATTGCAAAGCAGCACTTCACAACCCTCCAGCTGCTCTGGGAGAGCTGCTGGAGGGTTCTGAAGCGTTCGCCATTGGGAGACCGCGATCGGATGCAAAGTCTCTGCAACTCTTCACTCGTTCCGCTGCTCCTGGGATTGGCCTCCGTGAGTTATGAAGAATCAGGCAAATCCACCTCTTTCCTCGAAAGAAGTCGTAATTGTGGATCGACGGCATCGATGTAACTACTGTGAATCGGTCACATCCCATTAAGTCATAACATAATGCGATTTGACTTGGGGGCATTTTCACATGAATTCTTCCGTTGTGATGCATTTCTACGATAATTCGAATGCAAATATGTGAATGGGGTTCTTCCTTCCTTCTGTCTCTATACAAGAAGCCCTGATCTCGAACGTGACAATTTTAAACATCAACTACGAGATATAAGCCAGCTAAGTGAGATGACTTATTTTCGCTTGCAGGCCTTGGAACTTCCTTAGCCAAAACTCGTCGGATTTTGCGACATCGATCTGGATGTGATTTATGATACTTTTTTAGTATTAATTTCTGTCCCTTTTTCATTTTCCTCCATTAAGCAAGGCCAACCCTTCCAGATCACGGAGTTCGGTTTTTGTGCATCGTCCGGTCAGGTTTTCGAAACGTTTCGCCATCAGGCCGTTGGGGAATACTACGACCGAGTTGAAGGCAGACGCTGTAATGAGGTGGGGCAGCGAAGCAACGTTGAACGTTCGTTTTGAATGAAGCAATGATTCGTCAAGGTTTCTCTAATGTTTTCTTTTTTAGATCGCTGTACTGCAGCGATCCATCAAATGTTTCAAGAAATGTATTGAGGGATTGCATTGTCATTTTCATAGAAATTTGAATGGTTTTCAAGCCTTTCAGCAAGTTGAAAAAATATTGAAGATATCATGGTCTTGATTTTCTTTGTGTGAATATTCATTGCAGTAAAGAAGTTAGGGCAACTAAAAATGGTAAAAAAGAATAAGTCAGGAAATACAAGTCAAAGCTAGTGCCACTGATACACGTGAGGACCTCCAGTGGCTAAAAATGGATGCCTTTGTCTCAAAATTTCACTACAGGCCCCGGATGTAGGACTTTTTCTACTTAAATTGTAATACGTTGGTCTGGATTTGAAATGTGGGGAACATTAAACCGTGCAATTTCCGAAGGCGTTCCGCATGGCATGAGATGTCACGTAAATTATATACCGATCATTCTCCAGAGATCTTCCCCAAACTCATCCAGGTCCTAGAACCTCAAAATAAACAAGTGCTGGAACAAACATTCCCCCTGAGAATATTTCAATAGAAAGGGAATAATTGGTATCACAGAGAGTGATGAAGCTTCCATCGAAGGACAAAGTAAGACACAAAACGCAGGACGACGTTGTAAAGAACGAGAACCCAGAAATCGATCCAGTACACGTTCTCCTCCAAGTCCAACTCCTTCAAGAATTTGTCAGGATCCTTGAACTGACAAAAGGGCTGATTGCACACGAGGTCAGATCGGTTGTAGCCGTAGATGCACACCATCGTCCCTTCGAAGTAGTATTTGAGGAAGGAGAGGTTGGAAACCCAGCGCATGTATTTTGGTATAGCCTTCACGCTCAGGAAGAACCCCGAGAACAGGAGGAAAGGCGCTATGAACGCTGGACCCACGAAAACCGCCGCCTGCCAAATAAAGCATGCACAATACGGCTGTCATTGAGTATATCTTGACCTTAATCCCTAGTGGCGTATTGGTTCGGCAATCGATATAATTTAACCGCTGTATCGATGCTATGAATATATTTCGGCATATATGATGGACCAGTATTGTGCATCGCCATTCGAATTTCATTCTCAGCAAATGTTGAAAGACAATGCAGCAATATTAATTTATTATTACAATTCATTAGGAACCGGCATGTTTATCCTTTTTTTTTAAATCCCTTTTACTTGGAAAATCGGTTAAAACGAAATAAATCGATATTTGTGGTGCACAATTGGTTCCGTGCGTCGTGCCTGTTACTTGCTATCCACTTTTGGAAATCTGACTGTATATTCAAATCAGTGACAGCTCCATGATTGGATTGCCATTCGTGAATTCGGTAAAGAATGCTTAAGTCATCAAAAATTCCGCTAAAAATAATTGCAGCAGATCCGCTAAAATTCTCTCTCACAAGCGCAGGGGAAAGATATCAGCATTTTTATCATTCCATTCCTAAATACTTTTCTGAGCCTCACAGCATAGATGCGATTGAACCGTTTCAAGTCCAGCCCTGTAATAATGTTTCCCTCAGCCCATCCCGTTTTCAAGAGAATGCAACATTAACTTAAATTTAAAAAATTTCCTGAATCATTTTTAGTCATGAAACGCGTAGTCTGGTTCAGCCATACACGAACCTTTGCGGAATATCATCTTCTGAAATTCATATTTTTCCGTAGATAATGAAATACTGATATTAATGAAGTAAATCATTTAATTGCACATAACAGGCCTCTTCAACTCATTATTGCGGCAGATATTTTGGGAAACAGTTCCTCTTGAACCCATATAAACTGAAGCGTTCTAATACCGAAATTCGCACAGGCATCTTCGGGATCCGCCTGTGAAACTCAGACCTCTGAATGTCAAGAAATGATGGAAGATGGAAGTTTCAAATCTGCATTGCATTTGCCTTTGAATTGCATCCGATTGCAACTGACTACTAAACGGCATTCTTCCGGGCCACAGGTTTCAGTTTGAACTTCATTCGATACGGTTTTCAGAACAAATGCATTTTTCCTTGGTTATTAGGGAAAGAACGGCACTGATACTTGATGATAATGTAGTTATTTACGACGAATTTATCGGAGCTTGAACAAACGATGGACTAATAGCAAAAAATAAACTCTTTTCTAGCCAATTATTTTATAGAAATCCCTTCCCTTCTGACATATTTTTGTTAAAATAGTTGTCAAAAACGTACAGCAAAATGAAGCAAAAATCTTGGGAGATCATCCCCCCTATCAAAAAACCAAGGAAATAATAAATAATATTATTCCATAGAAACAAAATGAAGCTTGCCATGTTTCGACCTCCCTGAGAAGAGAAGCAGAAAGAGAACAAGAAAGTAAGACAATATTGCAGCTGACGTATGTATAAACCTGGGTTAACGTTGGGATATCACAGAAATCTGGAGCTTCTGTGCTAGTTAAGTGTTAACTTTCATGGAAAGTGTTTTTTTTCTATGACTCATACGGTAGAAAAGAAAATGGACGAATTTTAGTTCCACCATGGGTCTCAGAAAAGAGATATTCTCTCCAGTCTAGTCATGTTGTGGCGGAAGTATCAAATACCACAAAGAATGGGACATTCCATCCTGGAACTATGGGGATAACAAGGGAATACCGTGGTATATTCATATACTGAATACATTCTCGTATATACAGGGTTATTATAAAGTCACCACCCTGTTTTGATTGACTACAACTTATTAAGGGACAGTCAGATTCAAGTGATATTTGACAGAGACGTTCATGAGTCAAGAAGGTTTCCCTCACTTTGGAAGATGACGCTGCATGACAATACAGGGCGCTGATGTCGACGCTTGCGCCGCCTATGAACTTGCTGCTCAAACAAAGTTGAATGGTGGCTTGCATCAATCGAACTTTGTTTAGTCATACCTCTTTAAGGAACAAGCGGATGCAGCTGATGCTTGACAGAGATGTACATGGGTCTATAATATATTCGTTCCCTTGCTCGGCACATGCTTGTACTTATTGACAGGGGCCCGCTTTTTCTATTCTTTAAGAGTAGAAATCAATCAGAACAAAAAAGTTTCAAGCTCACCTGGATGGGGAAGAGAGTCCCAATCAACAGTCCCAGAGACTGAGCAAGAACGGAGACGAATACGCTGATGACAAGATAACGAAAAAATCTATGAAAGTCCATTGGCTGTGCAGTCATGTAGTAGACGATCACCAGATATACGAGAGTACAAAAAACCTGCAGAAAAAAACACCATCATTTATGTTGAGGATATCTGCAAAAAACTAAGTAGATATGGAATCAGGTCTCTCACGGAGAAGGGGACATCCGCCATCGTCTTGGCCACATAGTATGCCTTGAGAGAGTACCACTTGTTGAGAATCTCTTTGAGCAACACAGGGACCTCCAATGGATCTGGAAGCGCAGCAAGGTGTAAGTTAGTTATCCAGTGGGAATATTTGCATATGATGAATGCATGAGTTCAAGATCGAATGCTGTGTCTGAGCAGATCCTCAGGAAGATTCAACCTCCGAATATCGTCAGTCTCGTGATTCAATCCTCTGGAGGGTGGTGGTCCCCGTTTTTTTTAAACACTTTCTTATAACATTCATAGTGCTTATAACTTGGTGGATAAATTCTGCAGGCATCTAATATGACGCATCACGTAGTTCCTTCTTTGCAGTTTCTTTTTTGCCCTTTTTTATACTTGATATATACATATTTTCGTGTTTGATTTAGAAAAACAAAATGTCCTCTAAAGGATTAAAGGGCCCAATACCATCGTAGCTCGCAAAATTCAATTAGTTTACCAATTAACCAATCCTAAAAGCTATTGCAGGAACAGAATGGTCTCACTTTGACCTTCCAGGCATAATTATTCTCCCTTAACAGTATAAAAATTAGCTGTGCTCATGTCGGATGTTAGTGGGCGATACTCACTTCCTAAATTACTTTTACTATTACAATGCTCATATTAGTAATAGTCATCTAATGCCACCCTTCACTGAAACATAGACTAATAGAAGTTCCTCTGTAAGAGAATGTCTTCTATTAGAACAGCGTTCTTTGTCCTTAATTAGCATGATGGTGAGAATCGTGTAGGCACTCTCAATAGCATTAGATTTGAATTCATATAATCACCAGCATTTCGCCACTGCACCAGAAACTTCCAATGAAAATGGTATTTCTTTGAACAGAGGAACGTCGATAAGACTGATAATATCCCAATATCAATAACATTTTGAGCAGGGTTCTGATGGGGAGACTCACACGTCACAACGGTAGGCATCATAGCGGCGAAGACGACGAAAAGGATGGTGAAGAAGAGCGAACTGACGTTGTGGTACACGCTCGAGGCATCGTCGCCCTTGCCAAAGAAGAAGATCCCCATGAAAAGACCGACCATGACGTGAGCCGCGACTCGAACGTACAGCAGCCACTGTGTGTGTTAATAGGTTGGTTCTTGTGAATCCCACGAAAAAGGAAGGATATCGTTCGATCGAGTTTCATAATTCCATGGGCAAGACTCACCAGATCCCTGCTTGTCGTCTTGAGACATCGCAGATACAAATACTGCACCTGAGTCTTGAACGACACGGAGTAGTCGGCCGTGTCATCGTCGACCACCTCCTTCCTCGTCTCCAGCATATCCTTCACCTTTCCCCACTTCTCTGTGGACACTTCACAGTATCGCATTCGGTGAAGATGGACAATCGCCGAGAGCAATCATCGCCTCGTGATGTCTACGTCTGGCACTCGGTTAACCAGTAGGATGAGCTATAACAATAGTTACTGATTGCATTGAAAAAAAGACTATCTGTACATCGTAATATAGGGTGAGGCACAGGAGAGATTGTGGTAAGACGGACTAACTTATTTACCAGTTTTGACTTACAAATTAGTGTAGTGTTCTAGGGAATTTATAATACGACATCATTCGCTCTACTTTTGCATACATTACTTTTTTGTCGTAAATTGGTCCTCCTTATTCCTTGTTTGGAAATTCATGTTCAGGAAGAGCGATTTGTTATAAACAAAAAATTGCTGGAACCTCGTAAATTTTTCCTCAATACGCATGGTCATCTTCCAGACATTGCAAGTCGTCGATTGAAGCATATTCACAAGAATAACGNAAAAAAAGGTGCATACCAAAGTCTGCAGGATTGTGATATGGAGGGCAATGAAGGCCGAACTGGCGAAAGTAGGGCACCAGCGAGGAGATGGTGCCGTGGTAAAGACAGCGGCCATCGGCGAGGAGAATCAGATGATCGAACATCTCCAGGATCTTCACGCTCGGGTGGTGGACTGTGCAGATCACGGTTCGTCCCTCGCGTGCCAACATTTTCAGCAGGGTCACGCATTGCAGACAAGTAGAGCTGTCTAGTCCACTGCATCACCAATTGCAAGTAATTGTGAAAGGCATGTAAATCAGAGGATCATCAATGCGTCGAAGTGCTCGAAATGTGAGGTCTTTCTTTCAGCGTTTTGTCTTCGAAGAAAGCAATGGGCAATATACTTTTTGTAATTAGCTAATTTCCAAATAGAGCAATTCTCTAAATCAGTGGGCTTACTCAAGTAATGCATAAACTAGTTTTTTTTTCATGGCGAAAGTTTGATATTTCAGGTTCTCATATGAACCAGTTCATTGATTTTTCCTCATAGTTTTTCCACACGTGAAACTCTTAGCTTTGGCTCGTGTTTCATCAAAGGAGAGAGGCAAGGAAACACGAGGATACAAAAAAGGGAAGACGAAACCCTGTAGAGGCACTCATTGACTGCTCTCTATAAGCTAAACTACAAAAATGTAATTGAAGTAAATGAATGTATGAAACTGTAGTTGTGGTGATGCTGGAATCTTTTTGTAGTGTGACTGGATGGCACTGACACCTGATTCTTCTTCTTCCTTATGAATGCCAAGCTTTTGCATACCTCATATAGGGTAAAACCACCAACGTTCGGACGGTTAAGCTGGCCGACCTTCATCATTCGCTCGTCCTATCTCACCGGTAGAATCTAGAAACTTCTTTTTTTTGCTCCTGGGAGCACGACACGAGGAGGTTTGAGTGCAAAAAATATGCTCTCCTTCTTAGCCTTATGACTACTGGTATTGCCTATAATGCACATGTCCGAACTTAGATGCGGATCTGGTGAGTCTTGCCCATGGATTTATCAAACTCCATCGAATGATATCCTTCCTTTTTCGTTGGATTCAAAAGAACCAACCTATTAACACACACAGTGGCTGCTGTAGTTCTGACACTTTTACTATAGTTCGAACTCCCCATTTTAAAGTCTCAAGGAAACTTAAAACACTTCATTTTGGTTTAAAGGAATGATAATTCTCTACCATAGTATTGGATATTGTTAAATATTGTCTAGCATAGGACGATCGTGATTGAGTGAGGGAGCGACTGACTCTAATTATAACCATGTTCTAGATGAGACTGGACGTTCGACCTTGGTACACGAATAAGTCTGATGGTATGGATTTCAGGTACTTTTCATGGGAGAGACGTATCCCATACTTTTTTTGCTCCAAAAAACAGAGAGACATATATGGTGAAACCCGGTGCATTGGTACCTATTGAGATGCAGTTTCCTTGAGGAAAATAGCTATTTCTCGGATTCGATCCTAGGGACATATATTTTTATGGAAATTTTCCAAGGTATTCCGTTCCAGGAAATCATGGAGACAATAGGCTGAAACCTTACTAAATATATTCTTGTTGGGATGCAGTAATGAGGGGAAATTCTGTTTTTGGGATATTATTCTGGAGAACATTTGGGGGACAGCCGTACTTTGAATATGTTTTACTACATTGAATCGGGCAGTGGCGGATATAGAAACCTGCAATTTGGTACGTAGGTTGCTCTCCAGTCGGTAATATCTGGGAAAATCCAACCCTTGTGGCAAAATCCCTTGGGTGCACATTTTTCATTTGGGTCACGCTTTCAAATTTCTTTTTCAATTTAAGCAGACCGGGCAGACAGTTTGTTACATTCAGTACACATGTATTTCTCTGCATGCTTAATTTAAAAAAACATCCAACTTCAGGGACACATCCCCGCTCCGAATAAGGAAGTACTGTACCACTCTTGGAAGAAAATATATTGAGCAGACATGTTCATCGTAAGGAATGTTGGCCTTCCGGAATGACATCTCACACGAATTTAAGCCCTGATGGCCTCTTCAACAGCCTCGGATCGATAATCCCTTGCATTCCACCCTCCCATCGTGATTGCACTGCTTCGGAGACACGCCGCACACTTAGGTGTGCCAAGATATATACGAAACTGTACTTTAGTGTATGCGCTCGATGGTGTCCGAAGTTACATGTCCCGTTCTGAAAGTTCGGACAGAGCTCCGATATACAGGTTCTCTGAAAATTATGAATCCACAGAGCTTTTGTCAACTCTAAAAGTTCTTTATCTCAATAGGACATCATATTTATTCGGATAGGACACACACGAATGCATGTCGAAACTCAAGTTTCCCAAACATTTATTGACCTAAGTTCGGACACACCGAAAGTAAGACAATAATCTGATCAATGCATATTCATTATGCGTAATAAGTCTCCAAGTCCTCCTAGTTTCGCGGGAAGTAAGACTTGAGTACAGAAAACAGCAATTTCACGCGTGAAACGTTTTAAAAGTAAGGTTCTCTCCTTACGGTTTCATGAAGAATCCTCCTGTTCGCGATATAGCATTGGCTTAAGCTCAATATCTTGGACTCGTGCAAAGTCATCATGACCACCGCTTTCCCTTCGCTCAGTAACATGTTCATCTCATGCTGGGAAGAACCGTTTCTGAAGGCGACCTCGCGAATGCTTAGGTTTAAAACAATGTTTGCAACAGTGTCCGAATGTAGGTATTGCCCGAAGGTAGGTGGTTTTACCCTAAGTGAAAGTGATTTTTGAACAAGTTTTCCCATTAAAGAAATTTAAGTTTAGTTAACTGGCTTTTTGCTGAAGGTCTCTCTATATCTAACGAATCATTTGCGAAAAGGACGGTGTAATATTCTACCCTGAATGAATTAAGCTTAGGATATGGATGCACATGGCTCGTTTCTGCCTACCTGGTGGGTTCGTCGAGGAAGAGGATTTGAGGGTCGGCGAGGAGCTCGAGGGCGATGCAGAGTCGCTTCCTCTCTCCACCTGACAGACACGATGCCCTTGTCCTTGCACAGTCCTGCATCCCTAGATGTTGTAGGATCGCCACGACCTGCAGTCAACAATCTCTACTTCTACAGGATGGACCGTAAATATCCATACCATTTGTAACTTTTCTATTCAGGTACGTCTAAAAACATGAAATACAAAAAGTTTCATATCTCTATGTGAGTGTCTCCTTGGTGGTCAACCTCGGCTATTTTAACATGAATCCTCTTCTGCCTAGAAATGGCTCGAGTTTAAAAAATTGTCTGACCATGAGGAAGAAAATATTTAAAAAAAATACGAATGACTCCCATACAACTCTGACCGTACCCAAACGGATTACTGAATGCGATATCTGCTGAAAGCAAGTGTCCATAAACGAAATTCAGCAACATGAATCAGTTAATGATTGGGACGAGAATGAATGAAGCCATGTCCGTCCAGTACGATCGACTGACAGACACAATGATTCCATGTCATCATGAAGAAGGGGGACACATCCAACACATTTTGTGAATAGTTGCATTGAGCCCTTGTGTCTTGTTGAGATTCAATAGGAAGAACTTTCTCCTCCTCGTTTTGTCAATGTAACAACGTTACATTGACAGAACATGATTTACATCGGTAAGAATCCGATATGCTTCTATGTAAATCTATGACAAAATAATACGCTTCTTTGCTTTATTTAACCCTTTCGCCTCAACTTTCATTGTGCAAAAATTTCAGATCATTCTGGTTTGTTCTTCTATCTAATAACTTAAGCAGAAACACGATTGAGACATCACATATTATTAGGGGTAAATAATGTGGAAATTAATTGGGAATCATAGTACCCTACTGATTTTGGTGGGAAGTTGGCTTTCCAACGCCAACCTTCGCCAATAAGAATGCATGCGGCGGGAACTATAATTCCTACGACGCAGGAGATGGTTAATATGTCGTTGAACGCAAATAGAAGAGCATGATGCAAATAATTCCACCACACATTGTATAGTATGGAATGTTCTTTTTACCAAGCGTTCAGCGCATGCTCGAATGAGCTCTGCCAGAGAGCCATGCAGGTGAAGTTAGAAAAGAAGACACGGGGAGGAACATACAGCGGTGTATTTGTCTCTGAAAGACAAGGAGCTGGAGAGTTTGAGGCCGGCGGCGAAGAGCATTGATTTTTGGTGACGAAACACTCTCAGGTTCCTTTCTCGGCCGTTCACCTCTATTTTTCCGGTCACGTCCTTCTGCCTGAGGGTGAAAAAAGGGTGTGGATTCCCACGCAAAGGAGAAGCTTGGGAAGGAGAGGGGGAGGGGGGGGGGAAAGTGGCTTAATCCCTCCCTAAAAAAAATGGGAGTTGGGGGCTTAAAAGATAATATGCAGAATTTGAAGGGGTTACGCCTCAAAAATTTCAATGAGAGGGAGGCTATGCTGACCCTTCAGTTTCGTCCTTACTCATCCCCTACCTCCCAAGGTTGGAAACCCCTCAGCCATCTTAGCTAATATATCTATACATAGACCTTCGTGAGTGACTGACTGAGCGACTGATGCAAATTCTAATCATGCTCTAGATATGGTAGAAATCTGAAAAATGATTTTTTTTAAAGTAGCTACTACTATGCTCAGTTCAGAATGAATCGTACTTTGGAGGTACATGCACTGGGAGCATAACAAATTTTTTTGGGGGAGGGGGAGGGGACGTTTCAAATTAAATATTTAATTTTCAGTCAAATGGAGGGGCAGGGACACCTAAAAATAGGCATGAACGTGTCTCGTGATATGCTGATTCCAGTAATTAAAAAAATTCATTTACTGATACTTCCTCTGGGGCTTTTTTAGGGAGAGCCGTTTTGCAAGAATTTGTTTTGTTCCAGTGAATCGGGCCGAAGTAGAATGTGAGACTTGGAACACAATCAGCTGTTGTGATCTTTAGTTCGGGAAAACTCTATTTCGATGTTCATACGATTAGTGAAAAATATTTGACTGGGACCTTTCCCCCAAACATTCTCGCTGCAGCGAGACGGGCAAAAGTAGAAAAATAAAAAACATATTTAGGATTGAAATTGTTCCTGGGGTTTTAATTTCAGGAAAAATACTAATTTGAGATATATTCCCTCAGGGCATATATTTTGGGGACAATAATTTATAGGAATTTTCTGAACAGAGAAATGCGAAAATAGAGAAATGCAGAATTCAGTACACAATAATGTTCACCACATCCTGATTTCATTGTATTTTTCACTTTCAGGTTCATCCCATCGGTGCAGTTTTTGAAAGGCATTAATAAGTATTTTAAATATAAATGTTCCCAATCTGTGAAAGTGGGCAAATTATCATAGTGGGAAATTTGCTTTCGTCACGTTATCTGAAGTAAATTGATTTTATCCACATGGCCTGAACAATCAGAAGTGGCAACCAGAAGTTAGATGTCTTATCCGTAATTGTGTGCACTACCTGCGTGTGTCCTGATTTTTCCAGTTCACTCTGGTTCATTGATTTTTAGTCACTTTCTGCCTCATTACCTTTAGTAGGCTACTTTTAGATCCCAATGCCGTTCCAAATCGAACTTTGGTGCATGCCTAAGCGACAGTTTTCAGGGAAAATCTTCACTTGCAAGGTTGCCAATTAGAGATACTGTAGGGGAGTATTGCTATAAGGGAGGAATGTGTCTGAATTCCCCTTTAAAAGCACGTGGTGGTAGAGGGATCGTAAGCACCTTCTACAATCCCCACCGCTCTGGAGCCTCAGTGGGAAGGGGCTCACCCTTCCCCGTGCAGCACCAGAACGCAGTCTTTTTATGAGCAGCGACGTAGTCAGCAACAAATATCAGGTCGAACTTTCTTAAAGTCCTTAGCAAACTTGTTAGCAGATCTTGGAAACCTCTACTAACAAAGTTTGGGACGGGCAGGGTAAGAAGGGGGCAGATGGAACAATTCCCTGAGTTCAAATCTGGACCAATCCTACTTTGAGTGGAAATCCGGTGAAATTTTTCTTCTACCCTCATATTTTCATTCAGATTAACATACCTTCCCAATTTTTTTTCATAACGGAAGCACTTCACCCCATTTTTCTTATCCTTCCCTTCCCTGAGCATGTGCTACCTATAATTATGACCCGAGATCCATAACATGAGCAGTACCGTTTCAAACAAATGCGATGGACTTAGCTGGCATTGATCTGCACTAAATTGTTGCTTATTATTTATCCATGTACTTGGCGAATAAGGGACATATTAAATTTATCTAAGGATAAGAACTGCAAGAAAAAATTTGTCCGGAAATTTCCATGGGAATAAATGGAACTGTGCGATCAACCTTTCCAAAGCAACAGTGGTGTATCCTACGTGGCGTAAAGAAACCACTACATAAGGAGGACATGTAACATTGAATCGACAGTTCCTAAAATGTTATTACTGCGTAAACATGCTAGTTCATCTATCGGATCGGTCCAGATGAAGTTAGTAGGAATTCGGTAAGAATGTGGAAGGGATAATGTGGTATAAGTAAAGCGACCTATATCCGGCGAGAATGTTCATGAGGCTGCTCTTCCCCGATCCGCTCGGTCCCATGACGGCCGTCAGCTCCCCGGACTTCATCCGCCCGTCCAGACCCTTCAGGATCTCCTTCATCCCTGCACCACAGCATTCCCATCAGCAGCATTCGTCTCCCTCCCCGGAAACGACATCGCATCTTCCAACCACGGAGATGACTTGGTTCGTACCTTTTCCTTCATCACGGACCCAGTAGTGGACATCGGAATAGGAGATTTCGAGCGCATTCCTGCCAGGTAGACGCGTAGACCCCGGTAGGGACTCCTTCCTTTTCACCCATATCGTCTGTCTGCCCAAACAAAACAATGACCATTGTGTCCAAACAAATATTTTGCTCATAAGACTGATTTTATTAAATGATTTCATAAACAGGAATTTAAAATAAATATATTCTCATATCCTTCCATTATTAAAATACATTTCCAATTGGCATTTCACTCCAGCTAGTATTTTGTCTGAAACAAAAGATAAATAAATAAAATAAGGAGGATAGGTGGAGTTTCACATTTTGATTCGCTGATGTTTCAGATAAAGCAGACGGTTCACATTTAGCCAATTTCATTTTTATCTGACTCGAGTTGCAATGTTGCAAAAACTCATTGTGTTACTGTATAGAATTTCCCACTCTGCGCAATTTCCATTCACGTTTTTTTTTTTTTTTTTTCAGCGATTTGGACATTCGTAATTTCTTTGTATCGAAGATGAAGAGAAACCCCTTAGCGAAATCTTCGTCGTGGCTTGCACTTAAGAAAAAAAAACAACACTTCCTTATCTTAAAAAATGGTAGATCTTGCGTTTGGTCCATTGATTCACTTCTTCACTGGTGGCTAACTCAATGGCAGACTCAAGGGTGAACCGTTTGTGCGATAGAGCTCCGAAATTTGGGATTTCAAGAAAATTTTGTGATTTGAGAAGACCACATAATTTTTTTTTCGGGTGAAACATGAAACCCGAAATATCACAGGCTATGATTGCATACCATGCATTCAAGAATGCTTGGAAATTTCCATCGATTGTTAGAGTTTTTCTTCCGGATGAACATAGCTACAATTTTGTTGTATGTCCTGTTTACGCAGATTCGAGTACATTCCCAATGAAGGATAATTGAACCGACTTTCAGCTGCCATTTTTCCTTCGGTAATTAAGCGTCGTTACCTCTAATCCAGCTGGAACGGCTGATGCTTCAGCAAAAGTTTTCCTGTATTGTGCCCATGTCATCATTCTTCATTTTTTGTTGTTCCCCAAACCCTTTTCGGTTTGTCGTTCTAAGATGCGGTTTCTCCACTTCCTGCATCGCTATATCATTTCTGGGCGTCTATGGCTTTGGGTTCCATAAAACAAAAGGGCAAAACGCAGTCGTTCGCTGAAAGAGCTGCAAGAGTGCCGGCCGGTTTCTTTCAACATGTTTCCATCATTGTCTCCCACGATATAAGCCGCGAGGAAC